ATATAACCTTATAATGGAATATAGATCAAATTTACCATTTTTTTTATACCCTCAGTTGGATGAGAAATAATTGTCTCATAAACTGTCTGTGGATGCAAGAAAATTTTGTTTCTCTTGCAAAATTATCACAAATGGAATGAGTTGGTTTTGAAAGCAAATGTCTCATGCAGAATGATTGTAACAGATGAAGTAAATCATGCCCATGAGAAATTAATATCAAAAGCGTACCACAGTTTATTCCCAGTTTGGTACTTTTTTCATTATTTATACTGGCACTACTATAATTTGTTATAAGGAGAAAAAAATTGCTCCCTAATATTTCTGAAATTGTATTCACAGCTTAACTATTGTTTTAAGTCAGTCATCAAACACTGTTTGTTAATAAATTTTACAGCACATCATTAACATGAAAAACATGTGGAATAACATTTTGAGTATAGTATGCATTGCAATTAAATATATTTTAAGAAAAATAAATCTATTGAATATTGAAAAAGTATATTTCTCAGGAAAAGTATATATGGGCACAAGAAAATCGAGATTATTTCATTCTGTGACAGGAAATATAAAATATTTTGAAAAATATTTGTCTCATGCTTTTCCCCTAGTCACAAATTTGTCATGTCACACACATAAAAGAATCTTCCTTTAAGATGCCTTGAGCTGCGTTCAATTTAGCATATTTACGTGTAACAAAAACGTAATTACAAGCTAATTTCATTTGTCACACATTGCTTTATGTTCAAAGTTTTCTTATCTTGATGGTTTGGTTATCTTCACACCAAAATTGTAACAACACAGATAATCCAATCTAAACATGTCTTACAAGATAACTCCCCGATTTGCATGAAGCTGTAGAAATCACACAATTACAATTTGAATTTGTTCGGCACATGCTATTTAAATTTAAATAACCCAGGAAAAGAAATGTACAGCATACATTAGCATTTCAGAAATAAGCGTGTTTTAAATTTTATTGATTACTTGTCAGATTTTTTCAGATGTTTCTCAACGCACAATGAAATATTTTATAAAGCAAATTAATTAAAGCAAGCCTTTATCATTTTCAAAAACAAGCTTATTTTATTCATTTTAAATTTCAGTTGAAACATATTTGTTCAGGAAAATAATCTTCTGACAGATTAGTAAATAAGGCGATTCTATATTGGAAACAGTAGACGGGGAGAACAGCAAGAGCAAACACACTTCCTAATTAAAGGAGAAGTAGAACATCATGCTTATAACTCAAAATATTAAGAATAAGCTCTAACAATAGGCATTAACATTAAGTGAATTTCTTTTTGTGATAAATTATAATTAAAGACAAGTTTGAACATATTATTTTGTTTAAAGTAAATGAAGTTTTATAAGAACACATCAGGTTGAAATTTCGGTGTTCTTTGTTTAGTTCAGATTCTCAGTAATATTATTGTGTCATACAAATTCAAAGAAATACGAAGAACAATTTAAGAATACATTTTTTGTTTATGAATGGATTTAGAAATGACTTGTTAACTGTAACTAACAAACAATGCAAAATTTCGATAATTTGGGTAAACTTTTATTAGAAAAATAATTTATATTTAAACTAAGGCACGTGAGATTTTACTTTCAATTACATTAAAGTAATAACTTCAATTTTGGAGGAAAGAATACCTCTGATTTTCCCAAGTGGTCACAAATAATATTTCCAATATTAATTGTAGCACAAAGCTGGTCTTGAGGCAATACTTTAAGCACACATAATAATAAGAACTAACACAGCTACAATTAAGATTAAAGACTTTCACCTGCTAATGAGATATACAAGAAACAATATCTTCAGATTCTTCATTTATCATAAACTTTATTTCTGCATGTTTCAAGACAGAAGATGTTGAAATAGCAACGATGTATATGTTACTAGTGAATTTTATTTATATGTCCATTCACCACAAATGTTAATTATTGGCCATTTAACATTTACATCAATTTTGTTTGATATAAACTTACTTACCTCTGGCCAATAAAAGTGTTTCATTGGTTCTTATGCCTACTATATTGGCTTAATATTTTGGTACATTAATCTAGTTCAATTACAACATAAATGCACAGCCCAGTTAAAAAATACAAGGGCAAGTACATTAACATGCTACCAAAATGCCTGTTAATCTGTGATATGAAACATTTTCATTTAATATTTTAGTGTTCAAATATCCTTTGCCATTGATATAATAATAAGTTCTTTCAAAATTGTCACAAAAAATTGTAAAACGACCATTTAGTTTAATTTGTTTTGTAAGTGCACAATATTATTTAGGGCAAATGCCTATGATCACAATTTTGCATAAAATATGCCATCATCAAAGTCTCAATCAAATTTGGATAAGTGAAGAAATGTTATCATCACTGCATTGTTTCACAATAATACACACAATATTACATATGATAGGTATCGCTTTCTCTATCAAAGTTAAATTTGCAACAATCAACAGTCACCCTTTCCAAATGTCATTAAAAAAAATTGTGATGCATTTGAAGCTATCAATATGAATCAGTTACTGCCCAAATCAATTTTGGTGCACATTATTTGCACTCGTCGTTACATGTACAGGTATTGTTGTAGCTAGCTGGTAGCAACCAACTGCATATTTTATTGTTTAATTTTTGATGTTCATTTTTTGTCAACAATAAAACCAATAGATCTTAGCTGCATATGCCCAGCAGTGTGGACAAACCACCGTTTACACCTCTGAATTAAAAACTCACAGCAGCTGGGCAAGTTTTAGATTGAAACCTTTGCAAGGCATTAATACCACTCAGCCAGGAGCATACAAGGCTTTAGCAATCTCAACCAAATCAACATTTGCATTCAGGAATTTCAAAACTAGCTTCGGTGCCTATTAGGATGTGTATGTCTATTACAGATACAATATTCACAATTTGGAAAAGAAAATATGTCAGTTGATCAGAAATGTGAATCTTCAAATGACAACACTAGGCAGTAATTTCAAAATAAGATTGTTTTCATTGGCATTGCCACACGTAAAATTAACAACAAATTTACCTTAAGACTGTTGGAATATGAGAGTTCAGTTTGACCAGTGTTATGGCCTTTAATAAATGGTAAAACAAGAAATGGTTAACAATAGAAAGACTAGATTGAAAACTGCAGATACCTTAAAAATCCACCAACACTATTAAGTCTATTTTATGACTCATAATCAGCTCTTGGAGTTGTCCAATTAAAATAGTTTTTCAATATATTTATGTATTCAATGAAAAATATTGTCAGCGATATACAGTTTACGTTCTTGGCCTGTTATGGAAAATAAATATAAATACTTAGAAGAGAAAAATACTGGAGATTATTAACATCCCTGGGTTGAATTGATTTTGGGGCTCACTCTTTACCAATATTTTCTTTTGTCACCTTTAACAGATCAGAGAAACATGATCAAGAATAGTGAACCAGTCACACATAAATTTTAGTCTTTTTGGTAAAAAATAAATAAAATCAAATGGTGTAATTTATTCCTTGGACGGAAATATTTGTTAATGAACTTTCTTCAACTTTATAGGCGTAGCTTCACCATTTTAAATGTTTTTTCAATTTTATACTTAGTACATTAGTTTTCACTTTATAACTATGTTCAAGTTTCAGGGTACATCAACATCTTTAATTGAAAGTGCAGAAATGTTGCTTTGCAGACAGGAACACCCTTGCAGTCCTGCCAGTGATACATTTCTGATGCACACAGCTAAGTTGGATAATTCAAAAGGCTTCCTGCTTTGATCAGTTTTATATGAGCCCATTCCTGCTCTTATTAAAACAAGCAAGTGACCTCTCCTCCTTAGGGCTGCAATTCATCCCTCACCGTTTAGAAAGACTAAAGTACCCTGAACATGCAAATGTCATGTAAAAGTTCAAACAGACCATTTGTATCTCAAATATGTTTTGGTGAAAAAGGCATTTTTGTTTAATTGGGTTTAGTGGAAACAATAGTGTGAAATAAGATCAATTTTTTCAACAAATTCCATAAAGCAGACAATTCTAATACTCTTGAAAATTCCTTTCTACTCGGTAATCTTATGACAGGTCTCGATCTCAGTCATGTTCCAATTTCCAGTGGCATCTGACCTCTCTGGAAGAAGTGCTACTTCACTGAAATGATACACAAAGGCATTGGCTAATTGTGAATTTGCTACCATAAGGGATTTCAGTAAAAAGGCTAGTCCTTATGGTGAAAATATTTTAAAGTTGCATCATTGGTTATGTATTGTTAAATATGCATCTTGTTATCTAACTGTTTTGAACTTTACAAATACTGCCAATTTAATACAATATTCTTTAAATATATAACTAAAATCATCAATAATTACTTAGTTCAATAAATTTCCAGAAAAGTTAAAATGACACATTTTGTAAGATTGAAGACCTGTAATTTAAGTTTCCAAAATCCATTATTGTTAGAGAGATATCATAAATTGTGTTAAGGGAAAAATATTTATGAAGCATAAACAATAAATAACATAAATTGTAGTAACTTGAAATGAAGTAATATTCTGCACACAAGTTTTGGTGCCATATGAAAAGAACTTCAAGAAATGGAACTGACTGCTACATTTGCACATAAGAAAAGATCTGATAATTTGAAAAGCAAGGTCATGTTATTTCCTCAACAACTCATTAGTTTTCATTGCAAAACAAAATAATTTTAAGCTTTTGTATTTAATAAATATGTCATCTTTTAATAAGTACCATGTTCATAACAAAGACTGCTTTACAAAGCACTTGCATGTTCTAAAGAGCATCTTATTAAAATATATCCTAATAAAATGTGTTTTGTTATGCATAAAACAGAACTTTTGTTCCAACACAGATGGAAATCAGTAACTATTAAAAACATTGTACACATTTAAAGTAATTGAGAAGGTATAATCCCTATAAGATTTTGCTTAAAATAAAAGTGGCAGCATTATTGTGGTTTTAGGGGAAATTTTTAACTTGAAAGTATCATCAGTGTATAAAAAATACCTTATTGAAAAATTGACAATATTTAAATCAGCTGAAAAATCAGAACTAGTTTTTCTTTTACACTTGTCATCAGTGCTGATACATTTAATTTAAGTTCTAACCTCTAATAATCTATTTTTATATTAACATTTCGACAATACTTCCAATTAGACCACTATTATTAACTTGGTAGTCAAAAGAAAAATATTTAAATGAAGATAACGGGTTCTCCAATTAAAGATACTGATAACTGGCCCAGACCCTCATAGCTCCATTGTAGCTTTGATCTTGGTATTCATTAAATAGGGAGCTATCATACACAGTGCGATTTCTAGTCATTTGAGAAGTTGAATCTGTTGACTTCACCTTTAATTTTTTTTACAACCAAAACAAAAGAGAGGAAAAAAAAACAACTAATGGTTGACATACAAAGTTCACTGGTTTAAAAAACAATCCTTGAAAATCGATTTGTATTCATATAAAGTAGTTATAAAACTTGATATACATTTTATCAATGACCTAAACAACACCAATTCTTATTTATAAACTAATTTTTCAAATCAAATTGTAATTAAGAAGATATTTACTAGCATCATTACTGAATATTCAGTCATGATAAAAACATAAGAATTTCCATCTCCATTACACACACTTATATTAGGATTATTTTGAAATTTGAATTAGTGACTTGACTTGCGCTGTATTTCAATATAAGCCTCATTACATCCAGCTTTGTGTGAAAAAACTAAAATTTCAGACAGGTAATAGATCATGTTACAGAACACTATTTTGTTCTTGATGACAAATGACGGACAAAACAAAAAGATAAAAAAAAAAATTAAAAAAAAATACTAAAATATTTTATTCAGACCATTGAGAGTCTTTCTTATTTGTTATTATACTTCAGTCAAATTGTATACCGTTTTCACAAAAATTAAAATACAATATATAAAATTCATGCATTCTTCTTGACTTAAAAAATATATAAATATAAAATAACTAAAAAGCAAATTTCCATAGCACTAAGTATTAACACTGAATATAGAAAAAACAAAAAACTAACAAAAAACAAAAAGGAGATGCACATCTCAAAAATAAAACAATGTATTATACAGACATTTTGAGACTCTTAAATTGATTTAGTGGGGAAACGAATATTGGATGTGCATCGCTGATCTTTAATTTATTCGTCTACTTCTCCTTTAAAACAATTTTCTACCATGAATATTGTACAATTTTTGTCAATTCAATTTCACTTAATTGTTCAGTTCTATACAGATTTCCAATTAATTCCTTATATACAAAGACAATACAATGACATAATATACAAATGAATAATTATTATATTATAATGTTACTAATCCAATTCTTACATGTATCGCTTATGCGGGCAATTTAATTCCCTTTGACACATAAACCTGAATTTATCCATTAAATTGGATTTTTGAAAAGGTGTAATAAAAACCAATACATAATATAAAGTGAGGTTTCAATAACTCAAGGTTAACTACCATTTTTTGTCGAATGAACATGTAAAACATTTGCATCCGACAGAGCACTAGATGACTTACGCCTATGCTGAACAGCTGTGGTCTCTGACATAACAGAACTACTTAGGGGTTGTCTGTTTTCTGATATGCTTTTCCCCATACTAACTTCATTTGACTGTTGATTAAATGATTTCCTTCGAAGAGGTGGTAGCGAATCGGAATGGTTAAGATTTCCATTTGCCTGGTTTGGACCTAACGACTTTCTCCGAGGCTGAGACATCAAAGTATCAACTCCATTAACAGAAGAAACTACATTTCCAGCAATGTTTTGCGAAGTAGTAGCAAGAACACTATTGGCAGATTTTCGTCTTTGTACAGTAGCTAATCCTATTTCAGGAACCAAATTGGTACTGCCATTTAGAATTAAATTTTTAGAAGAATTCTGAATACCATGTGATGCAGACTGGGCATTCAATGATTGGAGTTGAATACCAGTTGATTTTCGCCTATGTGAACCCTGAGTGGATTCTCCACTTTGGGATGTATGTTGGTTGTTTGAATCTTGGGTATCTGTTTGTTGCTGTTGACGTTGCAAATTAGAATTCGTAGTTTGGTGCTTCAGTTGTTGAGATTGTTCTTGTATTTGTTGTTCTTGTTTCACCTGCTGTTGGAATGTTGATCTTTGCTCATCTTCACCTTGATTTTCTTCTTTCTTGAAAGTACATTTCAACCCACCTTCCAATGTCTGAGACTGTGAAAGTTGTGTTGTCAGAGAGTCTTTATCTCCATTACAGTGATTCTGAGACACCTGAGATTTGACTACGTCGCATGTTAGTGAATGCTTCCTATCTTGGTCTTCCTCATTATGTTGTGATACCATAGAATATGACTGAGTCTGTGGAGACTGCTGCCCAAATAGAGATGATCGCACATGATGATCTGAATCCACATCATTAGAAGCACATATCAGTTTCCTACGCAATCCATGATCACTAGGAGAAACATTACCAGACAAACTAATATGATTTTTATTGTCAGGAGGCTGAAAACCATTAGAAAGGTTTTGTCCAGCCATTTTTCGCCGCAGAGAAGTTTCAGTGGGTTTGGCATCTTGTGAACTGGGACTTTGAAATAAACCATTAGAAAATCCCCAGGAATCTTTTTGTTTTTTCCAAGACTCGTGGAGAACATCACGCACATCAGCATTATCAGTTATAAGATCCTGCAATTTCTGAATTGTATTGTATAAGGTAACAGGGCTGACTAAACCAAAATCAAATAAGCTACAAACATGGAGAACAAAATTTCGGTACAAATTCTTCATTAGGAGCTCTTTTCCTTTTGATTCCAAGAACATGGTGCATGCAAGAGGAATCTGGCAATCACCAACATACCTGAAAAACAAGAAAACCAATCAAAACATGCAAGTATATTAACATCATAATACACATTTAAACATTGATTTTAACCATTAGTCAAAGCAATTTTTATTACAAAATCCTCTACTTATAATACTTGTTCGTGTATTTAAATAAAATATTTAGGCACAATTTTTTATACAGCTGGCCACATGCCATTTCATTTTATAAGATAAATAATATTAGTAGTTACTTGTTACTGAATAGTTTCATTTACTTTTCATTTCTATGCCAAATAATACGCTAGAATTTATGGGACCATTAGTTGGTCAAAATTGTTTGAAGAAATCATTGATGAGCATAATTGTGATTAATTTTTATAACTAACAATCAACCTGTCCTGTTAAAGATCTTCCTGTTTGTATGAAGAGTGAGTAGGTGTAAGCAAAAGAAAGGTCAGAAGGTATACATAGATGGATTTTTGGTGCCATGCCACCTTTAAAGTATGTGAAGCAGATAGATTGAAAAAACTTTGTAAAGGAGTTTGGTAGTGACATTTTTTCAACATTTTTTTGTGCTCTTTGCTTAATAGACGATACGCTTGGCAGTTCAAAACGGACCTTGTTCACTAAACACTAGGAAGTAGCAAAAAACAAGAAAAACATGGAAAGAAAGAAGAAGAAGAAAGAACTTCAATCTATGCTATGTTGTTAACTATAAGTTATCCTCCTAACAACAAACTGCAAATTTTCCAAAGATTTCATATATTGGTTTGCAGCCAATATTCCTTTGTAAAAACTGTGTAATCTTAAATTTAAAAGCTTTTTAGAAAATAATATTGAGACCCAGAATTATAGTGTTGATTCATCCACAATCAACACCATTATTCTGGGTCACAATATTCTGGACAATGCAAAACTTACATCACCGCCATTCAAAATGCGGTTAAGTACAAAAACATTTGGATCTCTATAGACAGAATGAAGGACTTGTGTATTCAATTCATAGTAAATGTGGGAGTGAGAGTTCTAGACTCAAATGAAGCAAGTCAATTATTTTGTATTTATACAGAATATTCTATAATAGCTCATTGTATTGAAATTGCAGTGCAAATTTATATTCCAGATGCATTCTCTCCCCAATATGGGAGTAGAATACTGGCTTCCAAAACAAACTCATAGGTTCGATCAATTGGCAGTGATGCCAAAACATGCTTGTCGTATGCAAAAGAATCTTGGCAGGTTGCCCAGTAAAATAAAATCCTTCTTGTGATATCCCATCTTTCCAAATTCTCCTTATCAGCCAGTTTAGATATGCTGTGAAAACTGCTCAAATGGCCCCATAATTAAGCAATTGCAAAACTCAGCCAGGCAAATTTCGAGGACTGATCTTATTAAGCGGCCACTTCTAGCTATTTTCAATCAGAACAGAATAAGAACCAGAAATATGTTGGAGATTACTATTGATTCAGTATCTTTCAATGATGGGATGCGTTGACAGATTGTTTCCAACACTGGCATGCGGAGTTGCTTATCTTGCTGGAGAATTAATTTTGGTTTCCGATAACAGCAGATAAATTTAATAATGCTCTTAATGAAATAACAATGCATTCCCTTCATTTCCCTAGCCTTCTCATAACATTTGCCAACCTTGCTTTGCCTCTGGAAACTTGTCAAAAACCTACACATAATGCCAGATGTGTGAAATCGATTTGCAGGTCATTTGCGAAATCCTTTATCTGGCAGACACGCTTTATTGGTTCCCACAGCAAGTGAACTGGATTTTCGTTTAGTTTGTGAGTTCAGTTGTTACTAGATACTTTGAGAAACTCGCTTTTCTTTCTCACTAATTGAAGAGAATGTTAGGCAGTAGCCAAGAGATGCAAGTGACCCTAGATCCCTAGTTTTAAGTTGTATGTTATAGTTTAAGGTAATTAAAAACATTATTAAGAAAAACATTATTTCAAAGCAAAGTTTATTTCATTAACACAATTAGAGCTGATGTTTGCTGACAGTAACCTCATAGTCTTGATTAAACAGCCATCTTTGCAAACAGCCAATTCACACCAGAACCATTGGTGATCACTTAAGCTGTAGTTAACATAGTATAACAATTGGCCGAGAAAGTGAGAATTAAGATTCAGGCACTGAAAGGGATGGCTAGAGTTTGAAAGATACCCAAGGAGCACACCAAAAGTAGCTTTCAAAGGAAACTTGGATCAAAAATACATGTATGAACATGGAGCAATGGTTACCCCTATGAAAATTATCCGATATGATGAATATATTTAGCATCACAGAATTTTGCTTTCTGAATGGATGCTGCTACTTAAATGATGAAGGCTTAATTGGGACAAAAAGTGCTCTACTCAAGTGAATGATTACATATCACATCATTGAGAGTGCAATAAGGTTTGGTCGAATCCCAAGAAATTGAAAAAGGATTTTTCAAATCACTATTGTAAAGCTTAATTTTTAAAGTTGTGCCTCTCAAACCTCTTCCACCAGTTCTAACAAAACTGAATACTTGGCTGGCTGAATGCAGTTTCATACTACAGTTGAAATTTCTTTAATATCTTACAAGTGGTTGTCAAATTGAAACCTGAGAGCAGTGTTGAAGTGGTGAAAAAACTAATGAAAATTTGTTTAATACAAGACAATCTGAGCCAGTATACTTCTTTGAATTTAGGGACTTCAACCATCAAAGATCACTCAGATGAGGGTACACACATATGCAATTCTGAATTAACAGAGGTAGATATTATTCTGAAAACAGCATGAGGATCTATGGTAAAAGCAAAATTAATTGCCTCTTAAAAAAGAACCTCGGGTACTAGACTTTCAAAGTTACAGCAAAAATACTTCAGGAATACACAGTCAGTGTCATCTTGAATAACCTATGGATGACATTTGTCACCTGTTGCAAATTTTAAAAAATTTAGTTTTCTTTATTTAAATTATTATTTACTTTATTCTGATTTATCATTCTTTTGGATTTTGTCAAAAATATTTTTCATTTTATCAAAATCTGGTGAATTAACTTTAAACAAATTTGGAGATTTTGTATTAAAGATTTCGAGTATTTGTTTAAGAAATATCATAAAATATTTTTTTCATTTTAGAACATACTTCATTAGTTTGGGGGCATATTTAACAATTTTTAGTGTACATATCTTCTTTTGACACAGCGTGATCTTCAGAGCCCAGGTAATAATGAAGCTAATATTGCAGCACTAGAACGAATTATTGACACGTAAAGGAAGACACAGAAAGCAAAAAATAAAATGAGAGCTTTAGGAAAACTAAAGATGAAAATACTGGAGTCTTGAAATATCAAATAAACAAGTCAAGTTGCGTATCAATTTAGAGAGATCACGAAGTAACTATATACACTTGATTTACTACACTTATAACTCATAAGATTGAAACCATTCAGCAATCTATAACATCAATTTTGTTCTCATACACAAGTCCCGGGTAAAATAAGGTTTACACGTGTGAGTGTACATTCTGAACGATAGAATGAAGAATTCTACGCGGGTTCCTTTCTACCTGATACTTACATTCAAGAAATTAAAATCCGCAATGATCTTTCCCTTCATATTTACACCGAAGAAGTGTACAAGGAAATTTATCAAACAAACCATGCAAACTTTACAAACTAGTCATCTGATGGCTGAGAGAAAAGTCTCTCGCCTTTCACCAAGGACACCCGGGTTTGATTCCGGTTGAATCCCGGACAATCTCTTGTGAAATTTGTTCCAACAAAACCAGTTTGGCTGTTTCACAAGGGCTAGTCCAACCCCTGTGAAGTTTCTCAAACACTCCCCCAATCCTAATTCCTTTCTAAATATGGCCACTGGGTAGTGACCCAGGAGCTCGTACACGGAGATGCTACCTAGCGGTCCTCCTGACAACTAACTGGTGACAAGACAAGACATGACGATCTTAATGAAGGATTACTCCTGCGCAATTAATGGAGGATTAAGCAAAGCGCTCAATGCCCCCCAAGGAGCTTGGAGACGCTTTACATCTCTGTAGATGCAACAAAACTTCAAAATTTCACTATTACTTGGGAATGCAAAATATACATTTGCAATAAACTTGTTCTTACATTGTACTAGCCTCCTACTGAAAACCTTTCATCCCTGCTACAAACTTCAAAAACTGACTTTAACCAACTATAATTTGCTGAATCTAAAATTTCATTCCATTCTTTGATCACTCTACTAGATATTTTTTTCTACTTGGTAATGTATCAACAAAGAGCATTGATTAAAATTGTTTCATAAGAGTAATTATATTTTTATTACTAGATAATATAAATATTACTATTAAAGATATAACTTTGAAGATTAACAAAATTTTAAAGAATTTTGAACATTCACTCTTGACTTATTACCTCTGATATTGACATGAAGCAACATATAAAACATAAGTTTTTTTTATGAATCGTCAAGAGCTCCACATGAAAGTAACGAAAAAGAATAGTGAAGAGATTCGGAGAAACATATTTAGATAAATAATAACTAGATAGCATTGAGTAATGAAAGTTGTCCCTAAAATCACCACAAAACGAACTACTTTTAGATTCTTTACAATAAAACACTATTAGTGTCTTAGAAGCACTAAAAATTCAATGAAGAAAGAAATATACATTAAGAATAATAAAGGCAAAGAAAGTTGTGGAAGTGAAAACTATCCGAAGGCAAGTCCCCGATGTGGATTGATGTAGCATTTCTCTTGAGCTGAATGTTGGAAATCTGAAGTATCAGAGAAATGAATTATAAAAACAAATGGGTTCTTGACACAGTACATAAATACCCACTTTACACTCATTTCCAACAAAATTAAAATACATATAGTGTAAATGATTCACATTATTACAAGCCAGACATGCTTTGCTCCAAATAATTATTCAAACCAAACACATTATTATTCACACAAACAGCGTTGCATAAAATTGATCATCTTCAAAACAAACAAAAGACATTCAATTTTGAATGATGGACTTCAATTATTGCTGCTCATCAAAATTACATCCAATCATATTAAGTCATTTGACGCAAGTTGAAGTAATTCAGTCCATGAACATATGTTAGAAACATTTCTGGAAAAAAGTTTTACAGGAAGAACTCGACAAGAAGTAAATACTAGTCATGATACACTTATTCCGCTACAAAGTTCCACATTATTATATAATATTCCACTACAAAGTTTTGAAAATTTTTGAGATTTTACGAACTCTCAGTTTCCCTCTCTCTAATAATACAATAAATTATATTTATTTGAGGCAAAGTTTGTTTATCAATTCATCAAAAAGTAGCTTAAAAGTCATCCTTTACAATGGGAACAAATATATAAGGATCACTTCCCCATACTACTCATATGAGAGACTTTTAAATACAACATACGGAACACACATGAAGATCCTTGGGTAACCGCTATCCAATTATGTTCACAGACTGGGGAAAAAATCAATTTTTTTACTAGAACAGTAGGAATTGTAAAAGAAATTCCAAAAAGAAGGTGAGGCCTTCTCATAATTCTCTCTCTCTCTCTCATTTCTTCGTATCAAATTCGGATTCAAGACTTTCATGAACATTATGGGCAAAAATGAAAGATTTTTAGTATTTAAAAGTAATTCACAACATTTCCAACTAGCTAATTAGATAGGACAAACCTGCTAAAAATTGACAGTCACTAGTCATTCAGTGTCGTGAAAATGAGGCATCAGAATTTCTATGTGCACTGAGTCTGCCAGCAGCCACATGGCAATAAAGGTGTTAAAAAATTTAGACTATTAAAAATTCTAAAAAATATGAAAATGTATACTGCAATTTATATCTCGAGACTGACATTCCTTCTGCTCACTTGCATTTCGTTTTTTGAAAATATGGGGGTCTGTAAGTAACTGCTTTCATAAGGTTATTTTAGCATGAAAGGTGCTCCAGTAATTCAAGATTAATTGCTGGACCCTGAAAAGGGATATTCCTAAGACAAAATACCCAAGGAAATCTTCAAATTAGTGAAGTTGAGCATTTGTAAATGCTCTGACTAAAATATTTAACTATTTGTATCAATAAAAAAAATACACAATCCAGAAAACTTGTCCTTTTGTATTTCAGCGCATAGTTTCCTATCAGGATTGGCTTTTGAGGAAAGAGAAAAAAAATTCATTTTGTACATCAATGAAATCATGGTGTTATTTTTCACCGACTCAAAATACTAAAAAATTATTGGAGGCCTTGCGCCCCAGTGGCTCATGGAGAGAGCTCTCACTTTTCATGTTGTGACTCCAGGTTAGATATTTGGACGGAGCAAAAATTAAGTTGTTGCTTTTCACTGCTATGTCCCACTTCATATAGTTGTGACAACGTTTCTGAGGTAAAGAACGCCAAATAAATGGTGTGGGGAGTTGTGAGCTGCATTCCACAGGTCTCCTGGGCCCCACGACCATCGGGCTGGAATGCCATGACAGGCCATAGCCTCACAAGGTTTTAGTGCCAGAGTACATACAGTATATACCTGTGACTTTGCAGAATTGCTTCCCTGTGAGACCAAATAAAACTAAATTCTATAGAGAAAATAAGCAGCAGCATCCAATGAGTTACAGCTTGTAACAATCTTCAACCATATCTGCCATTCTCATTTAAATTGAATAGGCAAATGCATTGTCTTAATGGTCAATGAAAGTTGCATCTTTCACTTCACCCACAATTATTCAAGACAAGTCTACACAGTTAGTCATGTTTTGTCAGTGAAAAGTTTCAGAAAGGGAACCAGTATAGGGGAGTAATCACCATAGGATTTAGTGATTTACACTGTATCATCCATGTCTAGGAAAGTACTCAAACTGAAGAATTCCACTGTTTGAAAAATCAACTTTGTGGCAATAATTGCAAATTTAAAATATATAGTAAGATCATACATAGTATAAACTTTCATCTTCACATACAATTCAATAGTGCAACGCTAGATCAAAGTCAAAAACCATAAGATTTGACAAAAATTAGAATTTTACCCATGCTTCATAACGTGCAGATTCCACATTTTCATTAGTTCTTTCTCTCCCTCATTTACATCAGTGAAATCATCAATCATCATCATTGTTTTTGTTTGGAGCCACTTGGGGTCATGTTCTCCTTCAGAATCTATATCCATCTCCTTTGGATATATTGGCAAACAAGTGGTTGTATGATGATATAATCTGAAAGAGATTGTGCTGGGGTTATTTAAATTTATATCACACGAGAAACAGAAATACACATTAGCATAACGTTTTGATAACACACTGTAGTAGACATTAATAAATTTATCTGAAATTCCGTATTGAGAAAAAAAATGTACCCACTTTAAGTTGTTGTTTTTTTTTTTGTTTTTTTTGTTTTTTTAATTTAATTTTACCCACCTATTATGCCCAGTGATGTATGGTCGTTGTCCATCATACTCGTTCTCATCCAGTTCCAAGAATTCTGACAAACTAGGTTTGGGTCGTTTTGGACGACACACCAAAATGTTGGAAACCGATGTTCGACGCACAGGGCCATTACGAGAGAAAGCAAATCCAGGTGGTTGCGATATGAGATCATGTGGGCTGCCAGTGTAGGAACCATCATAACATTCATTAATGGCTACATCTATCCGTGCTCCTTGAGGAATAGGCTAAAAAAAAAAATGTTTAAAAAATTACACACATTAAAATATTATGAATTCACAAACAAAACAAAAGGTTTTTACTCTAGTAGAAGAAACAAACCTTAAGAGTAAGGTTAGTGATTTGTTTTAATTTAAGGGAAAATGAACAATTGAGTGGGCCACTCAACATTTCAGAAGGCAGGAAAGAATTATAAGCTGGAGAATTCAACAGAACCCTAGTTAAGAATGTATAGGCTTTTAGAAAGGGACTATGCCTTCCTCCAGTCCCCACTCATGGCAAATGGACCACAAGGATGTCAAACAGTTGTTACCTTTTATATACAATGGTCATATACCACTTTTACAACTCAGAAAAGGCAATTTGAAATGAATGAAATGAAATGGTTCAATGGGATTCAATGGTAGATGTACCATTTGGCTCCCAAGCTAAGGAACCGTAACAAAATCACCAAGTATGCAGAACACAGAAAGACTTGTTAACAGAATATATATTAAAAGGGTTCCTTCCTTTTTTATTTCAGTGAGTAAAACATGCAGGTAATACACACAATTGCAACAGCTAGATAATAATATATTGAAGCACACGTATACTTATCATTAAGAGTTCTAGGTGTTTACACTCTACACGGGATAAGAGTTCAGTTAATTTATTAAAATTATGGGATATTGATTATAAATGTATGACCTTCTAACATGAAAGCTGTTTTCTAACATACTCTTACTGCTGATGACAGTAATGAACTTATTTGTCATGTTTTTTGCTGTTCTGTCACATTTACACAACTTCGTTTAAAAAGGGAAGATTTCGGAAAAATAAAGGTTTTCAATAGAGCATAGGATTTACACGTTCCATTCATTTTGTTTTGCAGATTACAGACAGTAAAAGGTAACATGAGAATAACCTGCCACAGTCACATATACCTGATGAACCCAAGGACACAAGTTTATCTTTCACATCCTGAAACACACCAAGAACATGAGGAAACCGCCCACAAATCAGAGTGACAATGTTACTTTTGCCCAGAGAAAATTGATGGAAATACCATTAAATGTAGGCAGGAAGGAGAGAGTGAATTAAATTATCATGTGTGTCTGAAGACTCCAATGCCTTCTCTATTTACTGCAAAAACAACAGACCACAGCTCTTTTATTGAAACACTTATTAATCTTATTTTATTGAAACAGATGAATATCATCCTGACTGTGTTGCAGAGGAAATGTGAGTTCCATTCAAAAAACATTAATTAAATGAACTGATTTATGACCCAAGTTTACTTAATCCTAATAACTCTGCAGAGTCTCTTATGACTAAAAGCAAAGAATGTTTTGTCTATGAATACCACTACACTGTGATCAGTTTAAACAATTCTGTTCGAGGCATTGAGAGGGATGTGAAAGCATTGCAACACAACATGTGACAGGCCCTTCAATATTATGCAATATTTGTCAACCACATCATCTGAAGTTTCAGCTCATTCCTAATAAATATGAATATCAAAGTGCACAGTATGCTTACCACATATGTAAAGGTGAATCGTGAATGACATAACTTCAGATGCTTTAAAAGTGCGTAAAGTGAGACGCAATCAAGAGAACACCATGGGCATGTAAGATCTTCACAAGCTTCAGTTTGTTGTCGACTATTATTGTTGTACAAAAACTGATAAACAATTTGCAAGCGTGGTTCTTCTGATTTAATAATCGGTTTTTGGTCTGTCACAAAAAAAGTAAAAGATATAATTGTCAACATCATACAATTGAAAATATTTCATTGAAAATTACTTTAAATGCTCATAAAGTGAATTACATGCAGAATAAGAAAAAATGTAACATGCACATATGCATTACTGCACTAATAGTTCTACAAAAAGTGTCCATGCAAGTAAAAAGAAATTTTCAGTAATATTTTGGAGTAATGACAATTTTATAGGTATTCCAAAGAGGTTCTACAAAATATGAAATAAAAAGAAAAAAGAAAGGTAAACAATCCCTCCCCTTCAAACTTAAATGAAATTAAACAATGAGAATTTTTATTTTTTATGCATTTTTATCCATAAAATGAGCATTTGTAAACCACTATTTTAAAATGTTCTAAAAAAATATCACATGAACTACCTAGTTCTTCTGCAAGGCACCTGGTAACTTCAGTTTTAGGTATTATGTGTTCTGTAACAGCATGGTTGGAAGGATAGAACTCTGTAAATAAAAGCAAGTGGATGTGACATTTCCTGGGCATTGACTGAAAAACCGGGACAATGAAATAATATAAATGCAAAAATGGTATTTTCCTATACACATTTTCAATTTGCTTCCTTGATGGGGAAATATTAGTGAAATTATGCAATATGCTTTGCCTGAAAAACAACTAAGTATGTTGTAAAATGTATCAGTGGTGCTATTCACATATTAACAGTGTGATGTACAGAAAGGTACAAAATGCTTGCACTTCTGTCCATAACATTACAAGAACCCATCTATCGGCATTAAGTCTTTGAAGAGTGCACTATCTACTAGGTAAAAATCATCTCGAGACTTATCACAAGAGTACACATCACTCTTCCTAAAAAGTATTTTCCATAAATCATCAGTGGAAGCTTTTCTGCTTAGGTATTAAAGTGTATCAACAGCGTTACCACATCCAGAGAAGAAAAGCAATGTGAAGTTTATAATCACAACAACACTAAGGTACTGCATACTACATGTCTATTATGAAGATATGCATAATATGCACTTTTATCTATAGAAAATATTTGTTATGCTCTTTTAAATGAATTAGCAAGTTTACGAGTCTATTACCACAAACAAGGATAAGAAAAATGTACCCTGTGCTGTGCTCTACCAGAAACTTGCCCTGCTGACTTTGAAGCACATACTTGACAACTTTGAAAATTTAAGATACCTGTGACAGGTGAACATCTAGGTGCTACTAAACACTTTTGTATCAAAGAAATGCAATAGAACCATACCAAGAAGTATTTCAATATTCAGAGAGTAAGAAACTTTTAAGGATTGAAACTTATTAAGATTGGATACAGAATACACAATATTAAAAAAAGTACTTTATTGGTTTTTCTTCTGCCTTTTTACAAATAAAAATCGTTCCTTACACATAGATCTCCTAAAATATTTTATATATAAATATGTATATAATAAAGTGATTTATAACCTGAGTTATATTGCACATCTTTCAGGTGAAGCATTTATTATGCAGATTCTTTGAAGTAGATGTATACACCTAGTTATTTCTTTTATATTATTATTATTATTATTATTATTAATTATTATTAAGAACATCCAAACTCTATCAAGCATGTGGAAGAAGAGATGTGGGTAGACCCAAAAAACCATGAAAGGAAATCTCGTGAAGATGGAATAGGTTCGAGCCTAATCCATGAAGTGCACAAGATGATAATAATAATTATTAAGAATATCCAAAAATCCCACGAGCATAATCCATGTAATAGTAAAACCAGAAAATCTGTGACTAATTGATCCTATATTACCTGCAAAGCAACATTTTGTGAAACAACAAGTTTAACCTCTAGGAGCACTATAAAAATTCTATTAATATAAAAGAAGTATGAAAGGTACAAGTGACTATTTATAAAAAACGGTCTATCAATTTGGGACATGGCAAATAATTACATTGGTTTTAACAAATTATGAGACAAACTCATTCACTCCTGTTTACTCACTTTACCTGCAAATTTTGACTTAAGAATGTATGAAACTCACTGTTTTGTTGAGACACTACATAAATTACTATTTTAAAATTTGTGTAAGAGTACGAGAATCCTGCCAGAGGTGGTTGGAACCTCTAGGGCTATGCCAAGATTTGCAGTCAGTGCCCTCTAGTACCTCGGGATCACGTCTTGAGGTGATCTACTGACTACCTTGTTAATTGCTCTCAGAAGCTGTATTAATCTCTAGACACAATTTGTAAATTACGATGGAGCAATTTAGCATTGCTGGTAGTAAATGCAAGAAAGGAACTTCATTGTCCCATGGGGCCATCTAGGGAACCCAGGGGATCCTAAAATGCTTAGGAATTACTTAGTTACCGCAACTTTAATTGGGAAGTGAAAGCTATTTAATACAGCATATAGAAAATTGTGTATTCTGTATCCATGTTTGTGGGTCCTTTATACAGAAAAATCAATTGACGCCAACACGTCTGTTCCGTCCACAACACAAAGCCCTCGCGCAAAGGCGGGTGGTCGCTCCCTCCCTCCGGAGGCGGCCGCTCCCGCCGGGTGCGCCCGGCGCACCCGCATATGCCCACCCGGACCGCCGGCCTCCCCCGCCCCCGGCGGCCACCCACGCTTTCCCCGAAGGGGGCTGCAGCCTCAAAATGGCACGCACACTTGTCCCCGGGTCAGATTTGCGAGAACCACCTCGAGAGGCACAGGCCACACCGCCTGCCCAGCGAACTGTGTGGGCCGCCTGCATTCCCGCTTCGCCCGGAAGAGCACCGCTGAGGTCCCCGCATGCCACAGCAACCCAGCATAAGGTATTCGGCAACGCCGTGTGCCCATGGAAGTGTAGTGCGTGGCTCGATCAGCCTTCACGTCGTCACCTTCAAGGTGATGAGTTCTCATCGAGCCGTTTTGTATCGTTCATTTAATTTCGTTTCTGTATAATTATTTCATTTGTCATCCCACCAACGTAGAATAGCAATGTAGTATTAATAAACAGTATGTGCAATGCAATCCTTTTAATTTTGTCAACCTCCAACTCCTGGCTTAACCAGCACCATCCCTCTCCCCCCCCCCTCCCGGGCACCTGACGGCCCGGTG